TGTTTTTGGTCCAATCTTAGTCTTTTTAGGAACAAAGAACTTCAATGTGCAAAACACCCCCACACTTTTAAGTATTTGTAGGAAGGCGGGTCGAACCCTTTCCACAATTCATAAGGAGTGCTATTGGTTTTCTTGTGGGCTATTCTATTAATAATATAGCAGGACAATATTGCTTCCCCCCACAAGTTTTGTGGTAAACCTGAACTTAGTTACATGGCATTCATCATTTATTACAAGTTTTGTATAAACCTGAACCTAGTTCACTGCCGATATCGCATGAGAGAGGGCATGACTAGCTCTTATTCGACGACCCAAAACCCGCCCCTATGGGTTTAGCACCATAACCGGCCAGTAATCCAAGATTACCGAAGGCCTGCTTAACAATAATACAGTAATACAGAGTACAGGAGCTGGCGGAAGCCAAAACAGTAATTAAAAGATGTCCAATGAGCTGTGACAGTCTATATGCAAAAAGTCTTTTCATATATATACACATTCATAACAGAACAGTCTATACATACATGTACAATATATACAATCATTCAGGATAGGGACTTAATCCCTATTAGAATAGTACAGTACAACACCATTCAGTCTATACAGTAATTACAAAACAGATACAAAAAAGGGGGAAACTAAAACACTCCAAAAGCCCTGGCTTGAAGGACTTGGAACCTCGTAGTGAGGCACGGTGGTTGGCTTAACAAAACTGGAGTTTATCCTGACGCTTCTAGCAATGGTCCGGTGCCTGTACACCTACATATATATATAAGCAGTGAGCTAAAGCCCGGTGAATAACATAATGTGTAAAGAGGTTAGGAATGAATGTCCTTACAGTAACGAAACAGTTCATTGAATCAATATATCAGTCATTCAGTCATAACAGTCATATGTGGTACATCCATTAGCAGAACAGTACAGTAAACAGTAGGTCTCAAAAGACCGAACAATCAATGATGGTTATCATAACAGTAAACAGAAGTTCCAAGATAGGAACTGACAGAGATCTCTGTAACAGTAGCAATAACAGTGATTGCTATGGATGCCACAATACAGTTCAGAATAGAGGACATACATTTATTCAGTTAACAGTATCAATTCAGAAAGCAGTTCAGTTAAACATTCAAAAAATATTCATCTTTGAACATATCTTTACAACATTGTTACTCACAGAGTTCTGGGCTAAGCTAGTACACGTCCTCGGATGCCAACCCTACACAGTTACAGAGTAAACACACACTAAGCTACACTGTTGGGAAAATAGTAACTTAATCCCTATCTTGACTCGGTGTGGTTCTACATCAATATCCTCATTAAGATGCCTTAAACTAGGCCTAAGAATGCCTAGAATGGAATGAGGATGTAAAGATGCACTTTAAAAACATTTGCAGAATTTTCAGAAAACAGAGGTCCCGCTCGAGCGTGGTTTTCCCCGCTCGAGCGTACAGGCAAACAAAATACTCTACTTGAGCGCGAGTTACCCCGCTCGAGCAGACTGTAAAACATGCCAAAAGTACTGGATGTGTGAAAATCACGCTCGATTGGGCGCTCGATACCCGCTCGAGCGTGTGACACAAGTCCTCACTTGAGCGTCCAATACCCCGCTCGAGCGGACTGTAAAACAGTGCAAAGTGCTGGATGCACGAATTTCACGCTCGAGCGCTAGTCACTCCGCTCGAGCGTGAGTCCAAAATCTGGAATTTCCAGATTTGAACCTCAAGCTCAAAAACAAGTTTTAAAACACCAAATTCGATCCTTTCGTGTTTGCATGTAATAAGGCTCAACATGTATTGCCTAAATGGTCCACTAATATAGCAATATGGTAAATAAGGCAACTTGTGTAATTTAACTTATTTTAATCTAATTTAATCATACCAAATCCAAATTCAAGTAATTATACCATAAATCCTATAAATTCTAATCATCACATAACACTAATCCATTTCTGGTTCGGCCGCCGATAATGCCTTCAATTTGCAGTTTAAACATAAAACGTGAACAGATAGTTTAACAGTCGAACAGATAAAAATGCACTTAAATAGATACAGACCATCAATCAGTTCATAATTTCAGTCAATTCAGTCAATTATCATAATCAGTCTCAGTTTAACAGTAATCAGTGGTTTATCAGTAAACAGTGGTGAGGGTTGTCACAATAGCACCGTCTATAGACCTGACAGAGTGGCATGCCAATTCGGGTTTGACCAGTGTGTCCCGAGGCCAGCACCTCATTTATTATCTTTTTCAGAAAGCTACGGGCACTTTACTCACGAACTCGTACACACCATGCTTCCTATATCCGGCTCTTTGACAATGCCAGGCTTGTGCCGAGTAGGGGGTTTCACCCCCTCTTTCAGGAGATATTGGCGGAAGAAAATTGATGCATTTATTGAGTTTGTCCAGAGCAAACCGACCATATGTTTGCCTCCGCCAATTTATAAGAAGGACTCTTCTCTTCGGCTGCCTAAGACTCGAAAATCTGATCATATATATGCGAGCTTCTTTGCTTCATGTGCTCCGACTGACCTTCCAGCTCGGACATCTACTCTTAGCTTGGCAATTGTTTCTCCAGAGCCAGTTCCTTTGAATAAGGCTTCTGGTTCTCGGACGACCCGCTTAAGAAGATGGCCCACAAGAGGGCTTCTGATGCCAGTCCTTTCACTCCTCGCCTTTCCAAAAGGCTTTATCTGGTACTAGATACTTTTTTTTTTTATTTGAAGTTACTTTCCTTCTTACGACTATACCTTCTTAAATGAACACTTTTTATTTTCTCCTGTTGTGTAAGACCCTGCGGTTACTGACGTTCTCAGTACCGTGGCTACTGGCCACGCTGCCTCCACTAAGCTGGACTTAGACTTGGACGACACCCTCCATTTGTCTACAAGACTCGTGAAGATACACACCCCTCGTATAGTAGTTATAGATGATGATGATGAGGCTGTGTCTTCTGATCATTTTTGTGATCTTGTCCCACGTGTGCGTCGTCACCGTCCTATTATTGTGACCGAGGATGCCTCGCCATTGGTTAGATATTCCCCTCCTCGCTCAGCTTCGGGGGAGAAGCGCCATCTTGGCAATGAGGTTATTGGGACTCACTGTTTTGATGCTGAGGTTATTGAGAACCATGGCTCTAGTGCTAAGATTATTGAAGGGACTAGTGCCACAGGAATTGATGCTGCGGGACATGCTTTTGGAGGCGACATAGAGATGAAGTGTGCTTCCTAGGGACATGCTTCTGGTGGCCGTTCAGAGATAAGGTGCGCCTCTAGGAATAGTGTGGAGGTGGATGTGCTAGAAGTCTCTGAGACTCGCTCTGGCACTTATGGTGATTCTTATCTTCTGGCCTTCCTTCCTTCTTCAAGGATGACTGCTACGGTTCTGGCTTCATTAGGCGTTGAGATAGATCAGGTGCCCTCTGTACGGCCAAGTGACTTTATTGATGTTAGGAGCCCTTCAATTCCTCCGGCTTTGCATAATGATTCTCCCTCAGGTAATCTCTCTTTCTGAAGTTTGTCATGTATTTCTATTTGTGAGATTTTTTTTTTTTACTCAAATGGCTTTACTGCTCCCTACCCCTAATAAGACTTTTTTATCTTTTCTTCAATGTTGGCCGCTACCGGTGTCATGCCTTCACCTGCCTCGGACTCTGCTTCGACTCTCTTTTGTGACTCCTCATGGTTGTCCTTCTCAAGGGGAGACACCTGCCTTTGAGATGACCGTTAGAGGCTCTTCATCGCAAGTGCCTTCAAATGTTTTGAATCTGAATCTCAGTGATTTCCACTTTGATAGTGATGCGTTTGGTCTGTCCCCTTATCGATCCGCATTCTTAGGCTCGAGACCTCTACTGGAAGTTACTCCTCCGGGTGGTTCATCTAACCCGATAGACATTGGGGAGATTCCCGAGACTAGTACCTTTCTGGCCCCAATTCCTCCTTCGGCTTCTGGCAAAGTATCATTTCTCCATTATTGGGTAGCTCCTGAGTTTGCTTCAGTTCTACAGCTTGTGTATTCGAGTTACCCTGAGACCTTTGCTTCATTTGCTTGCCAATGTCCACTCATTTAGACTGCTCTTCTCGAGTCTTTTGCCACTATCATATACAGCTTGGACAGGCAACGGTTGTGTGACCTTAACGGCAAAGTTGTCGAGACAGCGTATCAGGGGATCTCTAACATGGAGCGTCACCAAGTGGATCTATCATGGCTTAGAAGTGCCTGGATATAGCTTTGAACACCAGTCACCGGGTGGAAGTTTTGTCTGTGCTTGCCTCTTATCGGACCTTTATGGATGAGACAAAGGCAACTCTTCGTGAACTTGAGTCGAGCTATGCTCGGGCCTTGGAGACTTTAGAGGCACACTCAGCTATTTGTCCTCAGGATGTAGATATGACGGGCAGCTTCTTCGAGGGTGTTCTTCGAGTTTTTTTTTTTGTATTACTTTCTTGCCCCTTTCGATAAAAATGTTTTATCTAGGACAATGCAATGAAATGACAAAATTTTTGCTGTTTGGAGATTTTCGCATTATTTTCTCATTCTACTTGATAAAATATTTATTTCGAACGATACAATGGAAAGAACAATCATATGCACATGTGATATAAAAGTTGAAATATTCTCATTAATTCTTCAATGACAAAAGTATAATATATTTACTGCAAGTGATGGGATAAACATATACCATAAAGAAAACCAGCTTTTTCATAACGTAAGGGAAATACAACTTTTAGACAAAGTAAGAAAATGAAAATGAATTTCAACATAGATGAGTCTATCTACGGGTAGTAACGCTTGATAAACTTTGCATCGAGCAGACCAGTTCGGAAGCCATCTTTAACCCTTACAAGCATATAGTACCCACTTGAACTTGTTTGAACCACCTTGTAGGGCCCTTTCCATTTTGGAGAAAACTTGGGCAAGGGTTGTCCTCGCATGATTAGGTCTATGATCTTCCATACTAGATCACCTTCTTTGAACTTTCTTGGCACCACAGTCTGATTATAGGCTCAAGCAATGGACTCATGATACCTTTCCATGACTTTTGCGGCTCTATCGTGCTTTTCCTCTAATGCTTCCAATCTAGTGGTTCGAGGCTCCAGCACCATCCCCGAGGTGAGAGCCATCCGAGCAGATGGTGTTTCCAACTCTATAGGTAACACTGCCTCAGACCCATACACAAGGGAGTAAGGAGTTGCTTGAGTTGGCTTTCTTTTTAAGTTGTGATATGCCCATATCCCACCAAATTCATCAATCATCTTGCTCAGAATCCTTATTAGTGTCTTGTTTGTGGCCTCCGCTTGCCCGTTTCCTTTTCGATAGTAGGGTGTGGATTTGTGATGCTTCACTTGGTAAGTCTCTAGGAGGCTCTTCATATATTTGTTTAAGAAGGTGTGCCATTGTCCAAGAGTATGGTATTCCGTACTCCGAACCGGCAAATGATATTTTCCTTGATGAAGTTCGCGACTGCAGGCCCCGTAGCGTTCTTCAGAGGGATTGCTTCGACCCACTTTGTGCTCAATTCCGTAGCTGCAAGAATCCACTTGTACCCCTTTGAAGGTGTGGAGATGGGCCCTATCAGATCGAAATCCCAAGTATGGAACGGCCATGGCATTCGGATGCTGTGCAGGTCTACGACTAGAGCATGGATCAAATTTTTGTGTTTCTGACAAGTCTGGCACCTCATCACGTGATGGGACGTATCTGACTCCATGGTCGGCCAATAATACCCAAGGGTACAAGTTGTTCGACGAACAGTCGAGCCCCTCCTTGATGCTCAATTTCGTGGGCTCTTCCGAGGACTAGATCCGACTCCTCCTTGGAGAGATACCTCGGGGCAATGCCCTCAATACTTCTTCTGTAAAGCTTGTTCTGATCAAGAAAGTACCGCCTCGCTCTCCTCTTGAGGTGTGCAATGTCCCTCGGGCTCTCAAGTAGTGTCCCCTCTTTGAGATAGTCAATGTAGACTTATCTCCAATCAGAGGTATCAATTTCAAAGCAACCCTCATCCTCCCGGATGTATGACTGACACTTGGGGCATTCTTTCTGTAGTTGGTTCGAGGCTTTCTTCATCTCGGGCCAATTAGCCTTGTCTTTGGATCCTTTTGTACATACTAATATCTCCATCCCCGCAGGACTTGTCATGAATCTATTGTAGTCGAAAGCTTGCTTCTTGTTGGCCAACACACCGGGCTAGGAATCCGGTACCTCCTCAGAAGTAAAGTTCACCTTGAATAATTATGAATTGGGCAAGCTTGGCCCTAGTCAGTTTTCCAACTTTGCTTCTGAGTTGTTCGAGGACTTCTCCTTTCCAGTCCTCCGGAAGGTCTTTGTCCTCGGGAATTATTGAAGGCTCTGTTCTCTTCTTGATAACAATTGTCGCCTCCTCCTCTAGAATATTAACTCTTGCCCCTAATGTTGCGAGGGCATCTGAAAACTTGTTGTTGGAGCGAGGCACATGCTCTATTTCGACCTTCTGAAATTTGTCAAGAAGCCTTTGGACTGTTGTTCGATATGTGGCCAAGGCAGGCTTATTTAAGATGAATTGTCCTAAAACTTGCTTCACTATCAACTTTGAGTCCCCCCCGAATTCGAATCTTCTTGATACTATGCTTCTCAGCTGCTATTAAGCCTAAAATAAGAGCCTCATACTCGACTTCATTAATTGAACAATGGAAATCCAGTTTATAAGACAAATATAACTTTTCTCCATTTTTGCTTGTAAGGACTATCCCAGTTCCTCCTTTCCCTCTGGCTGCTGCTCCGTCAAAGCTTAATGTCCAAAAGCTTTCCTCAGAAACCATAGCTGCATGCACTTCTCCTCTTAGTTCTTCATTCACTGGTTCATAGTCACCACTTGGAAATTGGGCAAGGAGATCAGCTAAGGCTTGGTTTTTGATTGCCTTAGGAGCTACACATGTGATCTTGAATTCACCCAGTGCTAACAACCATCTTGCCACCTTCCCGATTAGAGCAGGCTTGCTAAGGAGGTATCAGATTGGATCACTTCTAGTAACAATCTGAATCTGATGTGCTAAGAAGTAATGTCTGAGCTTTTGGACAGTGAATACCAAAGCTAAACAATGTCTCTCTACCGGAGTATATCGGACTTCTGTTCCTCAAATCTTCCGACTGATGTAATACACCGGGCATTCTGCTCCATCTACATCTTGGACTAATAATGCCCCTATGGACTTGGGGGTTGAGGTTAGGTACAACATTAGAGGCACCCCGGGCTGCGGGGCTATCATGGTCTGAGGCGAGATCAAGGCCGCCTTGATTCTCTCGAAGACCTTTTGGTGCTCTTGGTTCCACTCGAACTTGGCATCTCCTTTTAATAATGAGCCAAAAGGGGCAAAGATCTCTACAAGTACTGGGATAAACCTCCGAATATAAGACACCTTCCCGAGGAACTTCTTTAACTCCTTCTGAGAATGTGGGGGAGGCATTGCTCTGATAGATTTGACCTTGTCTTCATCTGCCTTGATACCATGCCTATGTACAAGAAACCCGAGGAACTTCCCAGCCGTCACCCCGAAAGCACATTTGAGAGGATTCATCCTCATTTTGAATTTCTGGCACCTTTGAATACTTTCTCAAGGTCTCGGAGATGGTCTTCATCTTTCTTGGATTTCACCACTAGATCATCAACATAATTTTCCACCTTATGATGGATCATGTCATGAAAGATTACAGTCATAGCCCTTTGGTAAATTGCTCTGACATTCTTGAGTCCGAAAGGCATGACTGTATAGAAGAAGTTTCCAAGAGGTGTTCTAAAAGCAGTCTTTTCTGCGTCATCTTCAGTCATTTTAATCAGATTGTATCCGCTGAATCCATCCATGAATGAGAACACCTGGTGTCCCGAGGTGGCATGCACGAGGGTGTCGATGTGAGGTAGATGGAATTCATCCTTCGGGCAAGATTTGTTCAAATCTCGAAAGTCTACACATACTCTGATTTGACGATTCTTCTTCTTTACTAGCACTATGTTTGCCAACCACATGGGGTACTGTATTGGCCAGATGAAACTAGCCTGTTGAAGTTTTTCAATCTCCTCCTTAATTTTCTCTTCGAGATCTGGATGATATTTTCGAGCAACTTGCTTGATTGGCTTGGAGTTTGGGAACACATCAAGATAATGGGAGACTAGGTCAGGATCTAGTCCGAGCATTTCTTTATATGACCAAGCAAACACATCTAAGTACCAACTTATCAATTTTAACAATTGTTCCCGCTTCTCTGGGCTAAGGCTCTAACTCATGAATATCGGCCTTGGTGCATCTTGTCCATCACTCAGATCTATTTCAATAAGGTGTTTGGACTGAGGCTTCAGCTCATCTTGCATGCATTCTGGAGCCACTTCAGGCTTTATTACCATGTCATTGTCAGGAGACTCTGCTTTTGACTCGGAGTCGGTGGCTAAAGAAACCGACTCCCCGTACCTTTACAAATAGTACACCATCTTGCCCCATTCTCGAACTTTCATTACCTTCCGAGAAATAGGCAAACTTTCTGGTCGAGACATCGCCCGTTTACTTGATTCTGCCCTTGGCTCCTTGTCATCTTTGATATCCTCCCAACGAGGAATTTTGACCCCCCAAGATTAGAGATGGTGGGAACCTCTTCAACAGCCAATTTGGTGAAGTAGATGGCGTCAGAATAATGAGCTTCATGGGTCTTGAAAGGCCTTTTTGTAGCCTGAATTGTCACCGTCTTCTTTCCCCATTTAGTCTTAACACACTAATGATAACTTGACGGTATAGCCCCATATCTATACATCCAGGTCCTCCCTAGAATGATGTGATAATTTGCCTCGGAATCGATAATATCGAACTTAGTGGCCGAGCGAATCTTTCTGACGGCTAAATCAACTGTTACGCATCCTATAGTAACTCTCCTTTCTCCACCAAAGCAAGTGATGACTATCAGCTGCTTCACAATGCGTTCTTCAGAGATTCCGACCTTTTCTAGAATAGCACGAGTCATAATGTTGCTCCACTATCTAGAAAGGCCCTTTTGAACTCAACCCTGTTAATAAAAGCAGTCACATAAAGCGGGCGGTTGTGAGAAAAGGGATACTTTTGATCAGTCTCGGAGAAAGTAATGGCACTAGATTGCTCTTTTGCCTTCCTCGGGATAGATCCCTCAGTCGACATGCATTCCTCATGGTGTGCCTTGGCTATATTGATGATAGACTTGGTGATTTTTGTTCTTGCCTCCCTGGAAAGTCCAAGCTAGTCGAAAAATTGCTTAAACTTTACACAGTCTTACAGGGTTTTGGCATAGTGATCCGGATCTTTTTCCACTCTTGGAGGCTCGTAGTTAACCATCTCCTCGGTCTCTTCAAAATAAGATGCCACATAAACATGGTGTCCTCTTTTGTAATACTCTTCTCCTCCTTCTAGATCAAAGGGATCTTCGACATGAGTCATAAAGGTTATGCCCTCTGGATTGAGAGCACTTCCATAGAAAACTTGCTCACCTTCGGGCTTGAGGATGTCGTCCAGATAACAATCATCGTCATCGAGATTGGCGATAGCCTCGATTATCGTGCTTTCATAAGCTATCATAGCAACATTCTTGCCCTTGTGTCAGTGCTGAGGATATGGTTGTTTTTCAGATGTCTTGAGTCCCTTGCTTTTTGAACCTCAATTCGTCTGTCACAACTTTAACTCTGAAGATTTTCCTAAGAGTCCAACACTTCTTTGTCAGATATTTCAATGTGCGATGATAGACGCAAAATTCGGGGCTCTCGCGGTCCTTCTTTAATGGAATTTCTTCAACATAAGGCAATTTTAGCTCTCTGTCGGCCACCCATTCCTTAACTAGAACTTTTACCTCCTCGATTCCACATGGATAAGAAACATTCCCCTTTTCACCATTATAATGCTTCCTCTTCTGGCCTTTATGACCCCCTCCTTGTGACTTTCGAGTATCTGGGGCAGAGGCAGCAGCAACAATAGGTCCACGAGACGATTTGAAGCTAGTCTTGTAACTGGCCTTAAATCCGGACTCCTGTGCCTGAGGAGTGCTAATGTTCCGAGCTGCTTTTATTAGTGCCGAGAAGGAGGGTAGCTTGTGATTAACTAGAAACATTTTGTACCTGCTCAATGCCCTCGCTAGACAAATTTGAACCAGATAACTCTCATCCACTGCTTCATGGCAATCCACAGCCTTGCCCTGAAACCTTTTGACGTAGTCAAAGATGTCTTCACTTTCTCGTTGCTTTTCTTTACACAATGTAAGTGTGGTCACCTTCTCTGCCACTTGAAAGAACTTGGAGTTGAATTTGTTAACCATTTCCTTCCAACTTCGGACAGAGTTTGAGGCCAAATTAACATACTAACTATATGCTCAGTCAGTGAGGGACTTAGAGAATTCTCTCAGCCTGAGGACGTGATTTGAACCATGAATACCCAGAGTCTCGATGAATCGCACAACATGTTCTCGAGCATTTTCTTGTTTGCCATCGGATTTGATGAACTTCGACACTGTATACCCCTCAAGGTATAGGTAACTCAGCATCTCAATAGGGTAAGGCAGCTTGACATCCGGATCAAGCAAAGAGGGTAAAGTCCTCTTGCCCCGTTCGAGATCAAACATGGCTTGTACATCGGTGAGAGTGAGAAACTGTTGAGGGAGAAAATTTGATGGTAGTATTCCTGGAACTTGGCTTATGGACCCGAAGACTGAGCTAGGGGCGACTTGGCCATTCTGGTGTTGCGAATTTATCATGGGTGAGGACATTTGACGATACTAGCCATCAGCGCCTATGGACAAGCCAGTTGGTGATGGGACATTGAATTGAGGCCTGTAAAGTCCACCGCATGGCGCAGCTATGCCGGGTTGGGCTTGCAAATTTGTTGTCGACACCAAAGGAGGCCCGCTTGGTACTTGAGTAACATTTACTGGTAGTGTAACAAGATTAGGTACGGGCAGAGCTCATTTTTGCGCCATTATGCCCCTTATATTTTCCTGGACACCAACAGTCGCCGGAGCACCATTCATTACACCAGAACCTCCTCCAGTCACCATTGGATCTTGGCTTGGCACGCCATGAAGCCTGGGCATGTGCAAACCGCTGTCGCTTACTGTGGTTTGAGCATGTGTTACTGCGGTTGTGTTGCCATGAGCCACAAGCTGACTGGGGCCTACTTCTCCTTGGATTTGATTTTGCACTCCGGCGAGGATAACTCCACCGCCAGTTTGATTTCCGTTTGGTGCCGGTGCAAAATTAGAACTCATCACCAACATGGTGTGAGTGAGATTCTGAGGAGTGGTAAGAATCTCCTACTGAGTATTTTGAAGTCCTTGAATGGTTTCGAGCAAAATTGGTTGATTTGGAGCCATGGTCCTGTTATCACCACCATTAGAAGATCCTTGTTGGTGAACTTCATCTTCTCCCGCCATCCTTGTTAGAGTTGTGTGGGTTCCAAATCTCGTTGAGACCATTAACCAATCCGCTTCCCTAGTAGAGTCGCCAAATGTATGAGAGGGTTCAAGAACGTCGTTGGAAAATTCAAAGATCTTTGAAGATCCTCGAAGATCCTTGAAAAAAAATTCAAATTCTCTAGAAGATGGTGAGAGACTTAGATTCTTCAATAGTCTCAACTAAGAACACAAAAGTAAAGAGATGATGAAGATAAGAGATTGGATGAAAAAGAAGGCAAAGTAGCTAGAGAGAGAATAATGGCAAGGCTCTCCCATGGATTTCCCACTTTCACTCTTAAGGTTAATAATGGAGAAGGGAAATTAGTTCTTTCCCAAGAGTTATCTCTTCAAAATCCATCCGTTGTAAAGCTATGGGTGGGTGCTATTTATAGACACCTCATGATGTAGCATGGAACCCATGTGCAAGGCACATGGGGAATATTCTCTCTAACCACCTTGTCCAAGGATGTGACCTCTCCGAGGATGAAGAAAACCCTCGAAGAGGAGATCAACCTCTTGGCGAACCCTTTTTCTTAGTCACACCTAACCAATGATCCCCAATCATCCCAAAGAGCCAAGGTAGTCCTAGAGGACCCCACGCCGCTGAATATTGCCGAGTCTCATGGACTCCCCGGGGTGGTGCCACCTCGACCCGAGTATAGGCTAGTTTAACCGAAGAATGAATTTATCTTTACTCACCGTCCTCGGGATCGGGTCCTTTGTTCGAACTTCATTACGCCCATGGTTCTGGTGCAAAGTTCCTGGAAAGCTCCGAGCTCGCAAGTATCCTAGGACTTATTAATGGAGCGACTTCTAGATTGCGTTTGAATTTGTTCGAAGCCCAAGTGCCTCGAATCTCTAGGCTTGCTCAATACCCTTTCGAGTCTAGGCCCAAGTAAGTTTCTAAGTTCGTGGATTCGAACCCTTTCAAGGCTTGGAGCAATTCGGCCCGTTTGATGGTCAATTAATCCGGGCCCACCAATCTTTGACTTGCGATAAATTCGGACCCACCAACCTAGGGCTATTGGGGCTAATGAATTTAGTGGGCTCAAATTAGCTCCTCTTACATAAGTTTGTAAGTTTTAGAATTATGATTTAAAAAGAGAAAATTTGTTTGGTTATAAGTTTTGAA